AATGCCGGAGCCCTGCCACTGAGTGGTGCGATTAGACAGCAGGTCAAGAACCCACGCGCAGTGAGACAGACCTCTCCCTTCCCTGGGGGCCGCTGCCCACATCCCAGTCTGGTTTCTGACTTAACATGAAACAGAACATTAGGTCGTGAGAATACCAGGCCCCACCTCGGGGCTTGAGTCTTTTCAGGACCCGTTTTTCTGCCCCTTGAGACCCTTCAACTAAAGGCGCCTGACCCCATGCCCGGCCCTTGAGAGTACATCTCTGGGTGGGCCGCAGTTTGGGGATGTTAACCTAAAAATAAAAAGCCAAAATATGAAGCAACAAGCGTTTGAAAACACAGAATTACAATCAGGGGCATAGATACAAGCAAAAAGCCAAATGGTGTCCTGATTTCAGGGTGAAGGCAAGGGATTTTATGAGAAAATGGAAAAGAAATAATTACATAAATTGAAGAAACTTAAGTTGGTGGTAGCAAGCTAAGTTACTCTTCAGCTGTAATACATGGCTGGTTACTGATTCTACAGAATGCTTATAATTACCGGTCCTTGTAGTCAGGATGTCTGCTTTCCTGTTGGCTTTGCAAACAGTTGTAAGAGAATGTTAGGTTGGCACAGTCCAAAGGTCATTTAGCCCTGGTTAAACATTTTAAGAGGTCAGGGAGTGAGGCATACTCCACTTATGTCAAGTGTTCACAAAGGGTCACCTCTCCCAGCAGAAAACCCAAGAAAGTCTGAATTTCCCTGGTCTCCTGGGGCTCCTTATTGAATGACTTGTTTTTTACTTTTATTTGCCTTTGTCAAGTATTATAAATAAATATATTTAAAAGTTTTTTAAAGATAACATGTACATATGATACATTTCAAAAGTATTCAGTGAAAAGTACAGTTATTGGCACAACCGATAAAGGTGGTTCGGGTCCTGGGATTAGCTCACAGTCATCCAGGGTGTTAATTTCCTGATTTACAGTTTTGCCTTACAGTGGACATGAGGGAGAATGTTCTTGTTTGGAAAAGATGCACAAAAATGTATTTGAAGATGATCGGGAAGTCTGCTGGCAACTTATTCTCAAATGAGTGTAGGAAAAAAATATTTGTAGTGTACTTACAATTTTCTGTCATTTCAAAATTCCAATATATATATATACACACACACACACAAAAGAAAGTCCTCTTTTATGAGAGTAAACTGCTGTTACCCATGTGTAGCGGAGATGGTTTGGAAGAAAAGTCGGAGATTGGAAATGTGTAACTTACATGGATAAAGGAGAGGAGGATGGACAATACTCCCGCCTCCCATCTCCATGGCCTTTTATTGAGCTTCTCAACAATGCTAGCTTTGTAATTTAATAGTAGTTACTCTCAGATCAGTAGATACAAGCGACGCCAACTCCCAGATTCAGCCTCCAAGCCACCTCCATGCTCTCAGCTAACTTCCTCTTAAGTATCTTTTTCTAGTCCCTAGAGCAAGAAGTCTTGGAATCGGTCAGGCGTATGCGCCCTTCCTGTAACGTGTCCTTGTGTGCAAGTCCACATCTTCTTCCAATGTTCTTGTTGCTCCAAGCACCAGACATCCTGCCAGGACCGCAGGCGTCTCTTACAAAACCCATGTCTTCATTTCTTGTGTGTCTTTCAAAAAATGCATTTCTAAACACAAATATTTTCCCTCCTTGCATAAATGGTAGCATCCCCCACCCACTGACCTCATTTTTGTCACAAGTGCTTTCACTTTGCTGGCTGGTAAGGAGGAATACAACAAACGTCACCTGAGCCCTCCTGGGTGTCTGGTGATGTCACATCATTCACTGTATTTAAGCTAAACTGTAGTGAGTGTCTTTAGACCTACGTCAACCAATAGCTTTTACCTTTTTTATCATCTTTTCTGATTACAAAATGTATGCATGCTCACTCCAGAATTTCGAATATCAAATTTAAAGTCACCAGCAATTTCGATCCAGATAATAATCGCTGTTAATATATTAGTGTTTCTTTCTAGTCTTTTTTCTATCATAGTTTACATACACTATACATTTTGAGAAATTGAAAAATATGTGTATTTCGAAATATGTATTAACAAATATTGGAAAATTGGCATGCATATTACACATACATATATATTTCCAAATATGTGTCAATAGCTAACACTTCCTCAGTCCCTGCTCTGCGTCGTCGCTGTGCTGCTGTTCTTTCAATCCTTACAACGACCCTCTGAGGTAACGCTTATTGTTCCTATTTTGTAAATGCGGCGTCTGATGCACAGGAAGGCTAAGTGACCTGTTCGAAGCCACACATCATGTAGATGGTGGAACAGGAGGGACCAGAGCCAGGTGAATGTGACCCCACGGCTCGGGGTCTAAACTCCTGGGAATTTGTGGTTTGCTTTGTTTTTTAATATCAACTTTACTGGGGTCTAATTTAATACAGCAAAGTCCACCCTTTCTGGGTGTACAGGCCCATGGATTTTGACAGACCCACGTGGCGTGTGCCCAGCACCACGGTCAAGGCACAGGACGTTTGCATTGCCCCGCCCAAGCACGCCCCCGGCACCTGGCAGCCGCTGATCTGCTCTCTGTCACCCTAAAGTAGTTCTTCCTGCTGTCAAATTTCGTGTGAAAGTCAGGTCCGTGCTCCTTTCCGCCTGGCTCCTTTCTCTCAGCGTAATGTTTCTGAGGTTCGTTCACGTGTTTGCCCACATTGGGAACTCTCTCCTTCCGGTCTGAGTGGTTATCCACGCATGACCGCACCGCGGTGTGTTATCCGTTCACCTGCTGGTGGACGCTGGGGTTGTTCCCCGAGTTGGCGATCACGAATAGGACGGTAAGAAGAAGTCGCTGTGTGGACGTGTTTTTGATTTTTTCTGGGTACATACCCAGGAGCCGAGTTGCTGGGTCATGTGATCGGCGCATGCTTAACTTCATAAGGAATTGTCAAATTTTTTTCCAGTGTGGTGGAACCATTCTACGTGCCCACCTGCGGTGTTGAGTTCCTGTTTGTTTGTTCATTTTAACTTTAGCCATTCCAGTGAGTGTGTAATGTTATCTCATTGTGGTTTATTTTGCATTTTTCTGTAACTACTGATGCTTAGTGTTCATTGTATATTCTCTTTGTGAATCATCTGTTCAAACTGCCCATTTTTAATTGGATTGTTTGTTTTCTTATTTGGGGTTATAAATGTTCTTTATACTTTCTATATTTAGTCATTTGTCAAATATATGTATTGTGAATATTTTCGCACATCTTTTCATTTTCTTAACAGTGTTCTTCTCAGAGCATTAGTATGTAACTACGACAAAAGTACACTTTATCAGCGTTATCTATTACGGCTTGTACTTTTGTGTCCTACTTAAGAAATCTTTGCCTACCTCAGGTCACAAAGATCATCTCTTGTGCTATTTTTTCTAGCTTTTTTTTTTAAATATAGTTTGAGCATTACGTTTAGGTCTATGTCTCATTTTTAGTTAATTTTTGTGTACGGTGTAGAGATAAGAGTTAAGGGTCATTTCTTACCATACGGATGTCCAGTAACTTCAGCACCATTTGTTGAAATGACTGTCTTTTCGCCTGTTGAATTACCTTGACATTATTTGTCAAAAAGAAATAGATCGTATATGTGTGGGTTCATTTCTGGACTCTCCCTCCCGATTCATTGATCTGTGGGTCTACCCTTATGCCAATGCCACATTCTTGGTTACTGGAGCTTTCCAGCGAGTTCTGAAATCAGGTATATAAATATTCTAACTTCATTCTTTTCAAAATTGTTTTAACTGCTCTAGGACTTTAAAAAAAATTTTTTTAATTTTAATTAGTTTCAAGTTTACATTCTAGGTCTTTTAAATTTTCAAGTAAATTGTAATGAATATATCTACAAAAATTATGACTATTTCTATAGAGAAAAAAGACCATTTTTTATTTCTTATCTAGTCAGTTTAGATCATTTCTGACTTTCTAGGAATTTGTTCTCATCTAAATTGCCTAATTCATTGGCCTAAACTTGTTCGCAATATTTCCTTGTAATCCTCTGCATTTCCTGTCGTGACGTTAGTGACGTTCCCTTCTTCCTTCTTGATTTTGGATGATAATCATTGTTGTGAGGAGTGAATGAGTTGATACACGTAAGGCCTTAAAATCATTGTCTCGGTGGGGGTGGGGCACTTAGATTTATTATGATGGGAGGATGGATGGACAGATGACTGGATGGCTGGATGGACAGTGTATGATTGAAGCAAGGAAGGGAGGGACAGTGACGGAGTGAATGGAGTCAGTCACAGACACTCATGAGACACCTTCAGACATTTTTATTAGAGGCCTAGAAGGGAGTCTTATGGGGTCTTTCTCTCTGTGCTCCCAGGGGTCACGGTGCCAGGAATAGATCAGATCTGGACGTAGGACAAGGTGACATCACCCTGGATCTCCAGCACGTCCACCCTCGGGAAGGCTGAAAGGCGGTGGGAGTAGTCGAAGAGGTGCTGGCCATTGGCGTAAACCTTGAAGCGATCGTTGCCACAGCGGATGGACAGCTGCAGGGAGGGGGGTGTGAGGCCAGAGCCCGGCCGGAGGCTTGGGAGGGAGGGGAAGAGAGACCCAGACTCACGTCAAAGAACTGGCCAGGACCAAACGGGTTGTGGGGGAGACTCCTCTCCTCGGATCCCCACGAGCCATTCAGATAGCTGTTTCGAACCACGGCGCCTTCGTTCATGCGGACGTTAATGTGCAGGGCCAGGTCCCCTGAGGACTCCACCCTGAAGTTGATGGCAAAGCTGGGGACAGAGAGAGAGATGAAGAGCCAGAAGCGGCCAGCACCTGTTTCCTCGGGGTGGGGCAGCGGGGGAGGAAAGGGCTGAGGACCAGACTCACAGGTCTGAGGGAGGAGGGGCCTGAGGATTCCCGCCTCAGTCTGGGTTCTGTACCTCTGGCCTCTGGGTGGCACGAAGCCCTTGACTATGACGGTTCTTCGGGCTGTGAGGCCCCCTGTCAGTCTCCTTATAAATGGCACAGGCTGTGGGAAGAGAACGTGCGGTCCCATCATCTCTCAGAAGCCAGATGCGGGTACAAATTTTCAGAGAAGGGTCCCTAGTATTTCCAGGAAATGTCCCCAACCCCTGTACCCTGCCTCACGCTGACCTCCAATCCCACCTCTTCCCACCTCCTGCCCCAAACACCTTCTGCCCCCTCTGATCCTACCCCTCTCAGGGCTCCACATGGATCAGGGCCTCCTATCCACCACCATCGGTTCCTGCATCCTCACAAATCGCCCATCTCAGCACCCCAAACTACGCAGGACACCTTACCGGGTTGAAGGTTGGTGGTCCCTCCATGGTCTGTGAAGTGAGGGAGAAGAGAGATTATAGGTGCTGGATTGTTTTTACTGGGGATCTGACCTCTATGACCCCCCTCCCCCCAGTTCTTGCCCCCCCCCGCCACCAGTGGCCACACGGCCTTCCTACTTACAGGCAGGTTACTCGGCGGTGCTTGGCAGCTGTGGCCAGGACCCTGCAAAGATGGAAGGCAGGACTCATGATGGGGGCGGGGTCTTCCGGGGTCCATCACTTCCTTCGGCTGCCCCAAGATGTCCTCAGCCACTGAACCCCCACCTCAAGGGGAAATCCCTCATCCACCATCAGTTACTTACTGGGTATGCTGGAATAGTCATGGGTGTCTGTGGGCACAGAAGAAGGAAGTGATGAGAGGGACCCCGAACTAAGGCCTTGAGGGTGTCAAGGACACTTGGCCTGGGGCTACTACCATTCAAGGGAGCCCTGGAGTCAGAGAGTGGCCCCCAGATGGCTCATTAATGGAGAGGGACTGGCCGTGTTAAGGGACCTCCAGCACACAGTGACTCTCACTCCACCCCTCAGGACAAGCCTGGTACATTCTATTCTTGTACCCTCCCGTATCCTGGCTTCCTGCTGTCCCAGGACCCTCATCAGCCCTCCATTCTCCCCTCAATCCGGAAGCCACAAGATAAAGCGATGAGGCGTACGCTCTCTCAGGCACATGCAGCGGTAGCCCTGCTCACCTAATCCCCAGCCACCAAGTGCCCCCCACTGGGGCAACAAAGAGCCCTTGGAACAGCCAAGTTCCTGCTTCTCCCTTGTCTGTGTCCGGCTCTCTCAGTCTGTGTGTCTCTCTCTGTTCCTGTTTCTCAGTCTCTGTCTCTCTCTGTCTCAATGTCTCTGTGGCTCTCCCTCCCCCACAGCTTCTCACAGGTGATTCCTCCTGCTTGGAACACCTCTCCCTTCCTCTGCTGACTTTTATTCACTCTGTCTCTCTGTTTCCTCCTCTTTCTAATCAACTCCTTTCTGCCTTGACTTCCATTTTAAGCCAGCTGATCTAAAGGCCCTTTAAAAATAGCTTTATTGTTGGTTGTCTTTTTAAAATGCATTGATGAAGCTGATAGTAAAATGAAGCCCATAGGCCCTCGGCCACCTTACAGATGAAGACTTTCCTGATGCTTCCTCATCGAAGAGGCAGAGGAGTGGCCCAAACAGACCCCGTGGCTCTGCCGCCTGCCAGCTCCTTGACCTTGGCCAAGTTACTTAAGCTCTCTGCGCCTCAGGTCCCACACCTGTAAATTGGGGCCGATGATCATCAGAGCACTCCCCCGTGGAGCCCTCAGCAGGAGGACATGTCAAGGGGCTGGAGTTCGGACTTCTCTGAGCAGGTCCAGTGCGCGTGTGCCGGGGCCGTTGTTCTTGTGGACCTGGGAGCGGGGTTGGATGCGTGTCTGTTCAGCTTTCACAGACACTGCCGGGTCTTTTCCAAGGAAGGGATGTGTGGCCGGTCTGCGGCCGCACCAGCGAGCGCAGCGCGCCTGTCTCGTTGGACCTCTTCTGGTGGACGTAGCGGCGACTCTTGGTGTTTCCCAGGTGACTAAAGACGTTCGAATGTGTTTGCTATGTCTATGGTTTATGTTCCTCCTTATCTTCACTTCCTGACTCAACTTACACACCTCCTCCTCCAGAAAGCCCTTCCTTAACACTCCCCAAAGCTCCCCTATGTCCCCCGTGCCGGCCCTGACCGCTTGTGGCCAACAGCATCTGGTAACATAGTAGACTGCCGTGGTCACCTCTGGATCCATGGCATCACCCAGGAAAGGCACTGGCACAGAGCAGGTACTCAGGAAATAAACGAATGTGAGAATGAATTAATTAAAGAAGGAAGCGGCTAAGAGGGGGAGACACCACACACCTGGCTTGGGGGGGGCTGGCCTCCGATGAAGTTGATTGATTGAAGTTCCAGGTCCCCATCTACTTGCAGGTGGGTGACCATCTGTAGGGGGAGCCGGTGCCCGTACTCATAGAATGGATTTCCATTTACCACCACCTGTAGGGCAGGACGAAGTCAGAGTCAACACCCGTGACCTGGGGAAGGTAGAGACAGGAAGCAAAGAACAGGGTTCTTAATAACTTGGGGTTAAAGGCTTGGGGGTGAGCTGGGATAATCTCAGAGTCAGGGATCTTGGAGTCCCTAGGTCAGAGGTCAAGCTGGAGTTGAAAGTCAGCTCACAAATTGATGGATGGCAGAGAATAATTCAGTCTGGGGATGGAGATAAGGAGAGAAGAGAGGCTGAGTCCCAGTTTTGGCACCAAGTAGTTGGGTTCGAAGTCTAGCTCTGACGTGTCTTGGCTGCGTGCCCTCAGGTAAGTCACGTCACCTCTCCGAGCCTTTGTTTCTTCATTTGTAAAATGGGAGCTCACTCTGGGATTGTTGGGAAGATTAAAACCCAGTAAGGCATTGTGAAAATCCTGTGTCGAGCCTTGCTTTGTAACCCTATCTCAATATACTTTAAGTCATCACATTCCAATTATAGCACTAAGTAATGGCCAAGAGCCAGCCCTGCAGGACTGAGCACTTCCTATGTGCTAAGCACTTTACATGGTGATATCAACATGGTGAGTCTCTCAACAGCTCCATGAGGCAAAACAAGGGATCGTCCCTGTTGTTCAAGAAAGCAAAAGCTCCAGGGGGTGGACTGAACAGCTGAAGGTCACACGTGGGGGAGTGGCAAAGCCCAGACCCAAATCCTGGTCTGTCCAACCTCAAATCATGATGTTAACCACCAGTGATGAGGTTAGAAATCTTGTGCCCACAGGAGGGCAAATCGAGTACGGGCAGTTTGTTCAGCCCTGCAGATCCCTTCTAGGAGATTCCTCGCATGGATCGCGTGGGATGAATGGGCACAGGATGTCTGTGAAAGTGTCATTCATGGGGAGCTGGAAGCGGGGATGGAGTGAACTCAGAGTAGGGACACCGGGAGTCCTGCACAACCCTCAGAAGGCGCCGACCAGGTGTGACGGAGCAACACGGGGGCTCCGACACACGGACGATGAGTGAGAAAAGCCGCGGGTGGGATGGCGCAGCGCCGACTGCATACGTGCGCCAGAAACACAAAGGCACAGAAACAGGGCCAGGCCACGAGAAGCCAAGATAAAGGCTACCCCTGGGCACGAGGGGACTGGGAGGGATGTGAGGGGGCTTCTGGGGCTGGAGCGGTTCTGTTTCGAGACCGAGGTGCTGGTTCCATGGGTGCATTCTCTTTGCGAAGAAACATGTGAGTTGTACACGTGTGGTACGCACTTTTCTTACCTGGGTCACACTTGAATAACACACAAAAAATACGTGAGCCTCATTTGGACTCTGATTCAAACATACTGTAGAAAACTACTCCCGTGGCGCCGACGAGATAACTGGAGCGCGGACGGGATGTGGCGACACTAAGGAAGGACTGTCAATTTCTCAGGCGTGAAAATGGCAGCGTGACTGTGTTTACAAAACCTGAAATGTTTATGAATTAAATTGTATGATATCAAGGAGCTGCTTTTAAGTCATATGGGAGGGGAATGTAGGGTAAGGATGAAAGCAGAGGGACGTCGAGTTGACAGCTATTGGAGCTGACCAAGCAGATGAGGGGTTCGCTGTGCTCTGTGCTTCCTTTAGCGTGTGCATTTAGAGTTCTCCAAAATGGGAAAAATACACCAAGGAACAAGACTATCGAGATACGTTAAACGTATTAGAAGCCACTCTGTGGTGGACGAATGGGGATGAGAAAAGGAGATAAAATAAGTTTTTTAATAGTCAGGAAAGAAGGAAAAGAAGAAAGTAAAGTAGGAAGGGAGGGGGAAGAGAAAAGAAAAGAGGAGGGAGGAAGGGAAGGAGGGAGGGACAAAATTGTTTTAAAAACCAATGTCCGGTAAGTTGTATTTTTTTATTCATCTTTAAAAAAAAGTCAGGTCTAGTCATATCGGGGGTATTGTAGTGCTCCGCCAGGACCATGACCACCAGCTCGAAGGCGGCGCCCTTGCGGAAGGGCATGCTCCTTTTCTTCTCCTCGCTGCCCCACTTGCCGTCCTGCTTCGTGTTGAAGACCACCTTGTCCCAGCCATCAAAGCGGGGATTGAAGTGGAAGGCGATGTCGGCCTCAGGGCCCTGTCCCACCGTGAAGTTCACGGCGAACCTGGCGGAACACGAAGAACTGTTCCTCTGGCCCCACCTGCCAGCCCAGGGGACCCAATTCCGGGAAGCCGGCTCTGTCCCACCCTGTTCCAGGGTCCCTGACGAGGCGACCTTGGCACTGTTGACCCGAGACAAGAGGGGGAGGTCTCCCCCTGATTTCCAGGAGGCAGATAACTAACGCCTCCCCTTTGCTCACTTCCTTTCGTTACTAGATCCCTCCCCATCTCCAATTTCAAATAAGACTGCCACTGGGACTCCTGCGTTTCACCCTCCGTCACCACGGGCCAGGCATTGTCTCCGGAACCCTACATCAGTCAGGCTTTGCCACCTCCCTGGCCTTTCCCCACATGCGGCCAGGGGGACCCTGTGAACGTCCAAGTCAGAGCACCTCCCTTCACACCAGTGTCCCCCAAGTTAACTCCACCGGGGCAGGCACACACCCGTGTCAGGGCCTTTGCGCTGGGTGTTCTTTCTGCCTGGACTGCCCTTCCCTCAGACACACCTCAGGTTCCCACCCTCACCTCCTTCAGGTCTTTGCTGAAATGTCCCCTTCCTGGGGAGGCCTTCCCTGGCCACTCTATTTAAAGGGAGAATGACGCGCCCCTCCCCCACCACATCCACTCCCCATCTCCTTTCCCTCCTTATTTGTCTCCACAGCACTTATCGCCATTTGATATATATTTGACTTATTTATTTTTTCATCTGTCTCTGCCACTAGAATGTCAGCTCCGTGTGGGCTGGGATCTTTGTCCTATAGACTGCTCTGTCTGTAGTGCGTAGGCACAAAGCGGGCACACTTAATGAGCAAGGAACAATGAACAAAGAAGCAACAATCCCATGAGGTCAGTTAAATTATTCTCGTCATTTTGAGGCCATAAGAAAAAAAAAATCTAGTCTACAGCCAAACCACCCTGAATGCCCCTGATCATCTGATCTCGGAAGCTAAGCAGAGTCAGGCCTGGTTAGTACTTGGATGGGAAAAAAAAAAATCTAAGACCTTTCTGGGCCGGTGACCTTCATTGATGCTATCACATCCATCATTTCCAATATAACGACCCAGATAGAGGACCACCTCTCATGATGAACCTCCCTGACCTCTCCTAGCCTCCAGCCCCGCCCCCCTTCCCACCTGGTCACCAAGTCCTGGACTCCCCAGACCACAGCTGGTCTTTGGCCACCGGGTGTGGTGGTGTAGAGCCCCACCCGGATGGCAGTGGAGGCAGGTAAGGAGGCTAGAAGCCCCCTGTTCGTAGCCCCCTCCCAGTTGAGCCTGGCCTGGGGGAGGGTCTTACCTTTTCATGTGTTCACTGGCCACTCCTTGGATGTAAACAGACATCCCAATGCTGAGACCACCAGGGATGGGCTTGTTGTAGGGCAGAGTCTGTAAGCAGAAGAGGCTGCGTGAGGGGCCTGGAAGGCCATCCGTCTATTGCAGCCTTTACCCCTCATGGAGAAGCTCCCTCGCCACTCCCTTAAACAAGGGAGGGAAAGCTAACGGGTGAGAGATGGGTGTGACGATGAGGGCTGAGAGTTAGGAATGGACATAAATAGCCTGCATGACAGGGTGGGAGTAAAGCGAGACCCAGGGTCGATATTAGATAAATCAGACTCAGGGCTCTGGCACGCGCCTCCAAAGTTCGGGGTGAGAGTAAACTGGTGTGTAAGGGTCCGGGTGGAGCTAAGCCAGGGCCTGAGCTGAGTAAGGCCTGGGCTGCTGTCTCACCGGGTTGTAGGCGGGCTGGTAGCCGGGAGCAGGGATGTAGGCCATCCTGAGAAGCTGAGCTGGCGACTCGTCCTGTGAGAAGAGCTGCGGGATTGAGGAATGGTGCAGAGGGCAGGTGGTGGCTGGCTCTTATAGCTGAAGATAAGGGAGTGGCCAGCAGGGCAGGGTCCACAGAGGTCCCTCTTCTGGATACCCTAGGCTCATGTCTTCTCCTAGGGCACTCCCTGGTTCCCCTTCTCTCAGCAGCCTTCGTGGTAAACAGCCAGAACCCAGATCATCTGGGCCAGGCCTGGGGGGCTTAGGGCAGGGCAGGGACCCCTTCCCTGGGCCCTTCTGCAAAGAGGGAGTGCTAGCGAACTTCAGCCTCACCCACGCCTTATCAGAGCCCATACCCCTGCCAGGCCCTTTGTTAGCAGATGGAGGGTGAGGCCAGGCAGACTGGGCAAGGCAGGGCTGCAGGAGTGGCCCAGGACAGGTGGGCAACAGAAGCATGTGAAAGCAGGGAGGAACTGGGTGCTCTTGACACTCCAGGAACTGTGAAAGGACTTCAATTGACTGTGTGCCTATTATGTGCCATTACCATGACTATTGTATACATAGTGGTTTAGATCACTGACTTCTGCAGCCGGAAGTTCTAGGTTCAAATCCTGCCTCTGCTACTTCCTGGCTGTGAGATCTTGGATTAGTGCCTTAACCTCATTTTGCCCATCTTTAAAATGGGGATATTAATAGTTTCAACCCCATAGGGTCCCTGAAAGGAACCACTAAGCTAATAAATGCTCAGAACAGGACTTGATATATAGAAGGCACTAAATTAGTGCTTGGTCTCTTGTATTCATTCCAAACATAGAACCAGAAGGGTGGAATCATATATGGATGAGACTATCCAAAGCTTAATGAAACAAGGCAGTTGGCTGGAGATTGGGTAGCAGCGGAACCCTGGGGAGACACTAGCACCAGGTCCCACTATGCAGTGAGTAGGGGCCACGCAGGGCGACCACTGCCCCCAAGCCTGGAGCAGGCAGGGAAACCACCTGCAGCCTTTGAGCCCAGATAGCCATGTGACTTTTGTTTGCTCTACCCTGTCAGACTTTCTACTGCCCCTGGCCTGTCCACTGCCAGCTCTGAATGGCTCCTATTCCCATTGGTCAAAGCTGTCTCCCCATCCTCTCTCTGAGGAGCTTGGAGCCCCCAGGCACATCTTAGACCCTTGCTGCCTCTCCCCTCTCTCCAATAAGGACACCAGGTTCTTGACATTGTTTTATTGTTTGTGGGCTGAAGATAAGCGCGTGGGCATGAGGGAATCAATGTCATAAAATTATAAACTGGGAGGCTGGGCGAGAAGGAAGTGAGGTGACCATTTTCACTAATCCTCCCTCTCTGTGGATGAAGAAACACAGGTATGAGCTGCGCAAGGCCAGGGCCTGTGATGTGGGGGCTCTTAGAGCTTGGGGAAGGTTAAGGTTTTCAGGTCCTTCTTCTCCATCATGGCCTGGATGAACTTCATGATGTCCTGGGTCTGCAGCATGCTCATGTTCCAGGAAGCCTGGATAAGGAGGGCAATGGGTAATGGAAAGGACAGGGCAAGGCTGGAGTTGGACTAATGAAAACAGGGGACATAGCAGCGCACCGATCAGAGGACAAGGCCTGCAGAGGCCGCTGAGCTCTGACCGGTTGCTCTGGGATCAAAGAAGGGATGCGATTGGTCAGATGAAGAGCCTCACCATGTAGTTAAGGCCATCAGCCACCGAATGGTCGCGGGAGTAGAGTAGATTGACTTTGGTGCTCTGAACCGCCACAGGGCTCTTGGTGGAAATCTCCGCCGCCAGGGCGAAGGCTGTGTCAAGCATGACCTCTTTGTCTGGGAACACCCGGCTGCGGATGAAGGAATGAAGGGCTCTGGCAATCAGGAATGGGGATCTGAGAAGGGCTTTCTCCCCTCCCTCCCACGGAAGAAGTGGCCAATCATGGTAGAAAGAGGAAGACACACCCCTCTGAAATGGACCAATCAGAGCAGGGCAAGAGACTCCAGAATAAAGAACTGACCACTCAGAAAGAGGAAGCCACTTGGAACCCATGAGTGAGTATTCACTGGGACTCAGAGAACCCCACCCAGGCCCGGATGCCCTTGAACAATTCACCAACCCCAGCTGTGGCCCTACCTGACCAGCCCACTGCCAAGGGCTTCATCAGCCATCATCTTGCGCGCGGTGAAGACCAGCTCGTTGACCAGGCTTCAGGAGGGCAGGGCGTATCAGCAGATGGTGGTCATCAAGGGTCAGGAGATGCCCTGTGGTCCCCTCCCTCAAGGGTCTCCCCACTCACCTCTGGTTCCCGATGATTCTGGGCAGACGCTGCAGTGTTCCCGTATCGGGTGCCAAACCCACGTCGACCTCCTGGGGGGAGCAATCACATCAGTGCTTGGTTTCTGCCCAAAATTGCCCCCATGCAACCTCGATGCCAGTGAAATTCTGCACTTACTGCAAGGTCGCACTCCACTCCACCTCAGACACCCCTCGCTCCATACTCCATTCCATTCCCATCCACACACTTTCACCCATGGAGGTTCCTTCAGTCTAGATTAGAGCCCGCCTTCCAATTCCTCTGCCCTCCCAATTCTTCCAGGTCAGCCATGTCTGCCTCCAGGGGGAAGTCCTCCTTAACCCCCCTCACCTTACCCCTTGACTGCATCCATGGGCTCCCTCCTGCCTCCTGCCCTCTCCAGCACTGACCCCATAATGTAGCACCCCCAGCCTCACTCCTGCTCCCATACCTTTACTCACTCCTGACCTCACCTGGACTACATGATCTACTCTTGACTTCCATGGCCAAGCCTTACTTTTTAAGGGTCAATTCTGAAAAACTCTTCCATGAAGCGCTCCAGGTTCACTCCAGGCCCTCCCTGCAACCATCCCCTTAGCCTGCACTGTCCCTCCTCTGCCCTTACTCTGCCACTTATTACCCAGCTCCACACCAGACCCGAGGAAGCAGAAGCTCATCAGGGAGATGACTCACCTTCACCTGGAAGAAAGCATCCTGGGCACAGTACCGGATGTCACAGGCAGTGATGAGGTCTATGCCTGGTAGGTAGAGGCCAGGGACACTAAACAACCACAGGGACCAACCCCTCCTCCCAGGTCGTGGGGGTTGCACCTTGGGACAAAGTCTAACTAGCAACAGATCTGAGGCTGGAGGTCATTGGCTGAGGTGAAAGAGCAAACAAAGTAAATGCCCAGATGCGTGGTAGATGCAGACTCACCTCCGCCGATGCAGCCCCCATGGATGGCTGCGATCACGGGCTTAGGGCACTGGAAGGGAACAGGAGGGGCAGAGTCAGGGTTGACCCATGAGAGGTGGGCAGGAGGGATGCCCTGCCAGGCTCCCAGCGTCACCTTCTCAATGACATTGAAGCTCTCTTGGTATCTGGAGATAAGAAGACGGAGTTGCCAGCTGATGCGGGCCACATCATCTCCTTGGACCTGAAGGATTTCTGGACCCAAGTCCGTGAGGTCAATACCTGGCAGGGGAGGTGAGAGGAGGCTCACATAGCATCCCAGGCCCTACCCATTGCTCCAGCTAGAGGGCAAAACCCAGGCTCAGCGGATTCGAACCCCCAAACCACCACAGTGGAGAAAGCAACTCACATAGGACTTAGCAAGGGATTACATACGGGGTATAAAATAAATAAAAGCTAACATTTATTGAGCCATTACCCATTTTGTCCTCAGAACAACCCTATGAGATGGGTCCTATTACTATGTCTATTTGGGGGGGGTGGTGGTAAACTGAGGCACGGAGTGTTTAAGTTACTTGCCCAAGGCCACACTGGCTTGTGAGTGAGTAGTGGAGCTGGGCTTTTGCACCCAGAACCGTCCAGCCGGCTCCAGGGTCATGCTTTTCACCGTTATGCCAGCCCGCCCAGAGTCAAGGTTTTTGCTTTGAGCAAATGAGTCAATGATGGTGATGCTTTGTGAGATGGGCAGGCGGGAGATGGAGCAATTTGGAGGGATCCAACTGCAGACAATTCCAAATCTGATATTTCCTCCTCTATTCAGTCTCCACGACCGCTACTCTGGCCACCATCATGTTCCTGGATCTCCCGCTTCCACCCCGGTGCCTACGGTCTGCTCCCCAAACACAGCCAGAGGGAACCTGTGTACAGCTCCCCTCCCACCCCGCTTACTTAGAATAAAATGCAAGGTCTTTGCCAACACCTGGCCGGCCCTGCATGAACTTCATTCCCCAGCTATTCCTTTGGGCACGCAGGCCTCCAGCCCTCGCTCCGACAGCACAGCACACTGCCTTCCCAGGGCCTTCGTGCCCCCTGCTCCTTCTGCCTAGAACAGTCCTTCCCCCTGCAATGGTCACAAGACTACCACTCTGTGCAGGCCACAGCTCAAAGGTCACCTCCTCAGAAAGGTCCACTCTGGCTCCGTGGCAGACCCCGTGCTAGGTCCTTTCTCCGCCTGTCCTACACTGCCCTCTCGTTATCACGTAATTCTGTGCTTATCTCATTTAGTGCATCTCCCTTTCTCAGATGTGAGCTCCAGGAGCAGAGGAATGTTTGTCTTTTTGTCCACCACTGTATCCCCCATTGCCTCAACGGGGCCTAGTACACAGGAGGTGCTCAGTAAGTGAGGAATTCAGACAATCCCTGCCCTCATGTAATCGCCCTTCTTTGGGAGAGATAAATAAATAAAATACATTTTGTCAGATGGTGGTAAGTGGAGAGTAGAGTGGAGTGTGTGTGTGTGTGTGTGTGTGTGTGTGTGTGTGTGTGTGTGTGTGTACAGTGAAGGCTGCTGCAGTATTCAGTTGGGGGGGCAGGAACCCTCTCACTGAAAAAGTGTTATCTGAGTAAAGATCTGAAGGAGAGACAAGGAGCTATAGGCACGACTGGGAGAAGAGTTCCAAATGTCAGGAACGGCCAGTGCAAAGGCCCGGTGGTAGGAATGCCCCAGGTCTGGCCAGGTAGATGGAGTGGAGTAAGTAAGGGGGAAAGGAGGAAGAGTCAAGGTCGGAGATGAGACAGGCGCCGGCCATGAGGGCCTTCGTGGGCCAAGGGACACACTTAGCTTTTACTCTGAGTGAAGACAGAGCCATGGGATCGATCGATCGGCCACACCCGACTCCGAGGCTTCCCGGACTCCACAGCCGGTTTCAACAGCTGAGCCCAGAGGAGCGCTGGCTCAGGGTGGCGCTGAATTTGTGCAAGTTGAATACGTTTAAGACAGGACCCGCCTCTGTGACCCTGGCCTGATCGCTTCATCTTCTGGACCTGAGGTTTCTTCTCTGTAAAATGAGGGTAAAACCCTCCCAAAAGCTGATGGGACTGTAAGGTTTCAAGGACACAGAGCCTAAGGCACTCTGCACAGTGCCCGGCACATATGGCACCACAGTATATTACTATATACTCCATTTCAGTGCAGGCCAGAATCGCCTGGACTAGTCCAAGGGCATCTATCTGCTCGATTCCACGCCACGCCTAAGAAGCCGGCAGGACTCAACAAGAGCCATGCTTATTCCCAGCACAAGCACAGCTTGGCCTCGTCCAATCCCTCCTACTACTGTTTTTTTTGGTTTACCCGCCCTGCCTGGACCTGCAGACACTGGCTTTTGCAACTCCTTGAAGTAAAGGGCCCCCGATCAGGATTCAAGGGGTCCCCCTTCACAGTGCGAAAGAACTATTCACTACAGGAGTCCCCTATTTTGTTCCCCTGTGAACCTCCAAATGTTGCAGATATCATTCAAGATCATAATGAAGTTATACGTCATCATAAATTATAACAGCTACATCGATAAAAGTTGTCCATGTATTAACATTTTGTGGGTATTCGCTCATTCAATCCTCGGAGCAACCCGATGTCAGGGCTAGTGTCAGCTCCATTCTCATCGGATGAGGAACTGGCAGCGCAGACAGGCACAAGTGGGAGGCGGCTGGCTGGCTGCTGGGGCCGGAGCCTCGCTTTGAACCACGTTCCAGATACCGGGCTATGGTCGGTCACTTAATGGTTACAGCAAGGGCTCTGCGGCCAGGCAGCCTGGGTTCAAAAATCCCAGCTCTGCCACTTACGCCCGTGAGAGCTGGGCAAGTTTCTTCTCTCTCTGGGCCTCGGTTTCCTCACGTATAAAATGGGGAGATAACTGAACTTGTCTCGTAGGGTTGTAGTAAGAATGAATTAATATGTGCGAAGTGCTTAGACACTCCACGAAAGCCAAATCGCTGCGGGCCAGTTCTGTTCTTTTTTCTTTTCTTTTTAATTAGCAGCTCCACCCTATCATTGAAACTACGAATGAAACTGAGTGTCCTTTCTTGCCTCAGTGTCTGGCTGCTGAAAATGGGACGAGCGAGCCGGCCACAATCAGCTGGGAGCCAAAAGATCGGGGCCGTGGGCCTGGCACAGCTACAGATGGGACCCTTCCTTCTCTAGCACTTCTCGGGCACGCGCTCCGTGATGCCAGAAACCTGACTCTAGGTCCCTTGCACCCAAGAAGGGGCCGACTGGCATGGGAGTATCTTCTTTCTGAATGTTTGTTGAAACAGAGAGAGGGAAAGGTGAAGATGTTAACAGAGGAAACAGAAAGAAATAGGTTGTTTGCTGTCTGTCTCCCCCACTGAGCTGGGAACTCCATGAGAGCAAGGCCCAGAGCAGTCTCGGTCGCCGCTGAGTCCCCGGAACTGGGCTGCGTCCTGCGAAAGTCAATGTATGTTCAGGTGTGGACCCTCTCACAGTTGACTGACAACTATGGGCTCTGGTTGGACAAGATGCAAACAACTGCTGGATGGCACAGGGAAGATTCTGGAGAGTTATCACTTAAAAGAAAGTTCTGGACTGAGTTACCTGCTTTTAAAGCTTTTAGCCTGAAGCCAAGCTGAAGTTGTGCTTGAAGAACCAGGGGACAGAATCAGGGTGACCCTAGCTGCTGGAAAGTGAGGGAGTAAATTCCAGAAAGGAGACAGCCAGAGAGGGGAGCCCCAAATTCTGTGTATAAGTTCCTCCCAAATCGCTTGCTGACCCATGAGTCATGCATGCAATCCAGAAAGAGATTTAAAAAGTGATTCCAACTAAACTGCTCAAACAGCAAACTCAACACTCTTTGGAGTTAGATAATAGGATCCAGACTTTCCACAGCATCTTCTTGCAATATCCCACTATCCAGGTTACAAATGCAAAGAAACAGGAATATGAGACCCATTCTCTTCAAAAGAAAATAGAGATTGACCCCTAGGCGACCCAGATGTTGGTATTAAGAGACAAAGATTTTAAAGCAGCCATTTTAACTATTCTTAATGGCACAAAGAAAGATATGCTCATGATAAATAAAAAGATATGAAACTTTGGCAGAGAAATGAAAAATATAAAAAAGAACCAAATGGAGATTTGAGAACAGACATGTAATTGGAAATCAATTCTTCTGTGTTGAATAATTGCATGAAAGCATGTTATTATAACACACTTAACTGACACACAAAAAAACAAACACTGAGGGGTAGCTCCATAGTGTAGTGGTTAGCATGTCTGCTTTATATGCAGAAGGTCCTGGGTTCGCACCCCAGGTGGAGCCATGGACCATATCCTGGGTGCACCGGGCCTCCCGAGCGCACCAGGAGTGCCAGGCCCCAGGCGAGCCAGGCCCCAGGTACAGCGTGTGGGAGGAGATGCCCGGCCTTAAGAGATCCAGTACTTGAAGTGAGGAGAGTAGGTGAGGGGTGGAAGTGAGGAGAGTAGGTGAGGGGTGGAAGTGAGGAGAGTAGGTGAGGGGTGGAAGTGAGGAGAGTAGGTGAGGGGTGGAAGTGAGGAGAGTAGGTCAGGGGTGGAAGTGAGGAGAGTAGGTCAGGGGTGGAAGTGTGGGGAAGAGTTAAAGAGGAGAAACAAACAAATACTGAGAGGTTAAGGGCCTTGGTCAAGGCCACAGATCCAGCATGGAAACCCAGACTTCAGAGCCCATGATCCTGTCATGTTCTGTTGGACTACTTTCCATATTTGAATGTTTTAAATTTTAAAAAATGAGAAAAGGGGAAGTTAGAAACTGCTGAAAACTCTAATTAAGAAGCATTGCTCTATACTTTAAACTAATTTAAATATGTAAATATATACTTTTTTAAAAAGCATTGCTCTATTCCCTGGAACAGGAAAGTCTGGAAGGGGTGGGTAGGGAGAGCACCTGGTACCTGCAGTAAACATTTTTCCTCCACCAGAGATAACCACAGTCCGACAGTCCGCATCTTGGGCTATCTTGTTGAAGCATTCCACCATCTCCCTGTGGAGAAGCAAAGAGTGAAGGGCTGTTTCTGGGGTGGCGATCCCCTGCCCTCACGTCCAACTGTCCCCCATTGCCCCACCCCTGCCCAGTCCCTCAGCCCCTGCCTCCTCCTGCAGGGAAGCCTCCAGAATCTGCAGGCCAGACCTCCAGAAGGCTTTGTTCATGGCATTCCTCTTCTCCGGCCGGTTTAGCTCTACATGCAGAACGTGTCTCTGGGCAACTGTCACCCGAAGGGTCTCATAGTTGTGGTCTGGGGCTTTGCTAGGGGCTGCTCTGGAGGCCTCCTCTTGTGCAGAGGAGCCCAGGGGGCGAAGGTTAAGGTTGAAACCCAAGTGGGTGGGGGCTATTAGTCCTGGGGAGACAAAGGAAGAGACTTTGATGGACCCAGATTGGTGACACAGCACCTTCAAGAGCAGAGGGCATATATCTCAATGATACTAGACTGGGGAACACAGGACCCTTAGAGATCTCAGTTTAGAAAGATAGAGTTTAAGATTAGGGGTGCACTTATCGGTGACCTCAGTCTGAGGACTACCTCAGCCCCTTGATCATGGTGAAGAATTTTCACTCAAAAAGCTAACCTTATAATCAGCTCTTTGTTCTGCTTCTGTAGATATGCTTGCTACATAGGCTGTAGGGCCAGGCGACCTTGACATTAACTAAAGACAGCCTCCCTTTTGCTTGTTCTGTCTAAACAACAAATCTAACTGCCTGTGCCCCATAGCAACTCCCCTGCTTTGTCACCACCTTAGGACAAATTAACCAACTGGCCCATGCCAAATAAGCCCTGTATAAGCAAAGTTGCGTCAGAGCTCCCTCTCCTCCCAGATGTTCAGAGCGCTAGCTCCACTGGAGCAGTAAACATGAGATATCCAACTCTCCTCGTGCTGCCTGGTTTCTCGCAGGTCAGATTTTTGCAACATTTCTGCAACAGCGGGACTGACTCCAGATTGGGAACAGTGAGCCATCAGCGACCCATCTGTAAAACAGTCCTACAGAACTGGGGAGCCTTTTGGATGGGAACACAGGGACCCCTGAGTTTAAGAGGATCGGACACCTGGAGCAGGCCTCCGTTTCCTATGACCTCTATGACAACATGACGGCGCAGCGAACCCCAAGAGGTCGAGGTGACTCACGCCATATCAGCCGGTCGCGGAGTCTGCGAAAAACCGCCATTGCTCTCGGGATTGCTGCAGAATGGCTGCAGTAACCCGACAGGGGGAAGTCAAAGGGGCGGGGACAAAAGACCGCCATGTTGGGCGAGGGCATCGATGCAGCTTGAGAGCGGCGACGCCTCTCCTCTCGCCATTTTTACTAAGGGCAACCGGAAATAGCCTCGATTCGTCGGCTGAGTTACAGAGCGGCTTAGAAATGGACCCTTTGACCCAGGAGGAATCTGGACAAAAAAAATCATTCATGCAGCTGCCGGACATTTCTGTATAAAGTTCATCACAGCGCTCTTTTGTAATGGTGTTGAAATTAGGGACAGCTGAAATGTCTAAGGACGTAACAGCAGAATAACTGCAGCCTTACAAGTTTGTAGTCATGCACTTGTACCACGTTAAAAAGAAAAATTATTTATCTAATACTGTTTTCCCACATTAAGGTAATGGAAATGTAGACGGGCCAGCGTTAGGCGCTGACTGTATAATCTGAACTCCTACAGCACCACGACGGCCTATTTTCCTTTGAACGTAGGAAAAGAGCTGGTGAGGGCGAGTCGCCTAGTTCGTCTCTGGGATTCAGGAGGGAAGAGGGGGAGGTTTATGTGGATTTGAACGAAGTCCGTGTTAAAATAATTTCTTCAAAAAATAATAGTTTTAGAAAAAGCTTGTTAACTCAAGAGCATAAATGCTGTAAAACTGTGTAAGTATGCTCATTAGGGAGATGTTCACCAGGAAGTGAATGGATGGCTCTGGAAAAACCTTGCCTTAATGAAATGTGTCACAGATGAGCTCTTTTGGAAAACATCCTGTGACTACTCATCAAGAGAATACTGCTTAGTTATCTACGCAGTGTAAAACTGAAACCACTTTGCAAATACATAATGTGAGAAAAATGTAAAGATGGCATTTAGTATGGGCTGACAAAAAAATACTTAAAAGATGGCTCCGTACATAGACTACAATACATGCATAAAATATCTCTAGAAATCTCGAAACTGCTAACGAAGGTTGAAACTGGATACTGGAAGACGAAATAAGGTAATTTACTTTTTACCCTCTCGATTTGTTTAAAAATAAATCAGGTTTTGAAGTTTGTGGCTGCAAGCTGACTAGTTTCTTGTCCAGACGTCCTATTTGAGACTTCCCTTGTGAAGCATTTCCATTTGATAAATGCCATGTGACTTCAAGTAGGTATTAACCTGAGTTTCAGAACTTCACAGTGAACGTTCAAAGTGGGTTTCTTCAACTGCACACCCAAGAACAAGGCACAGTACTTTTGGTTTACTCTTTACAGGATCTTCCATGAACCAAGGTCCTTAAAGCAGGTTGTCACCCTTAGCCCCACTGGGCCCCACCCATGGTGCACACAAGTCCCCATCTACCACAGCTGGGGAGTATGTTATGTCACAATTGTATGGATCCTTTAATCCAGCAATTCCACGTGTTATCTCGGGATCAACATCAGAGAAGTCGACTAAGATATTTGTATATATAACAGTGGTAATATTTCTAGCAGCAAAAAACTGACCATCAATCACCTTTGGAACCAGATTCTGACATAACCACCAAGATACCCTGCAGGAGTAAAGAAGCTGCTCTGTATGTGGTATGACAAAACACTGTACTGCTCAAAGCATTTTGTTAGACAAAATTACGTCCAGGTAGAATTCCAGGCCATGCTCCTCCCACCCAACCCGTTTTGCACTTTTTTCCTGCAGTTTAACTGGTCATTGCCCAATGTGAGACAGGGAGGCGGGGGACGGTAATAACCAAAAGTTAATGGGACTGGGGAGAACTTCACTTCGATCTTTCAGGGATTTTCCAACCTTTTAAGAAGGCAGGTATTTACTTCTCAGGATTAGGCTATTTTTTCAATCTCTCTTGGTTTTCCATTTTTTCAACACTTTCTACTTTTTGAGTGACTCTCCAACCAGACTGAATTCGGGCAGTCCTCATGAAAAATGCCACGTCTCCTGGCTTTTCCTCGAGACTCCTTAGGACCTAGCATCATTCCAGGCCTGCGGCCCTGACCCACCCACTGTTCCTTGCAGCAGGGCTGGGCCTGCAGCTCTGTCCTGGCCTGCCTGCCTTCTTCAGCAGATCAAGTGGGAGGGAAGTAGACACACCCTGGAATCCCAGAAAGTGGTTTATTTTCCAAACCATTTTATTGAAATGTGCCAAGAGTACATGGGCAGCACAAATGTATGAACAAGGAAAAAAAAAAAATCACATGTACAATAATTTTTAAAAAGTGAAGGTTAATCTTGGGAGATATCAATTACCTTCCCCTCCCCCTCCAGACTTCCAGCATTTCCATTATGGTTAAGCTTCTACTAACCTAGCATTAAAAAAAAAAAAAAAAAGAAAATACAGGAACTTTTGCAAAACAATACCATTAAGGAAAAGAAATGTTTTCCTGCTCAGATGGGACTCTTCCTTGGCATCTTATGAGGCGTGCTGAGCGGTGGAGAAACACAACTTCAGGGTGTAAGGGTATGGACCGTCTGCAAAGGGGAGGAAGAGGAAAGAGGTCTGGCTGTGCCCCTCTCAGGAGGCTTCCCCCACCCAGCTCCCCTCATTTTACACCCAATGTGAGACTTAAAAACAAGCCAAATACACAAGGCATCTCTCCTCTTCCTCCACTCCCACGAAGAATCCCATTCCTAGCTCCACTGCTGGGGCAATAAGTCTACCCCAGGAACTGGATGGGCAGTTTACTTGCTGGCTAGTATGGCCCCTTTCACCTGAGCCAGCCTCTGTGACAGACATGACACAGGTGGGTGTTACTGGCAGTTCCTGACACAGAGAGAATGCCAGCTCCCTGGAGGACAAGCCTGAGCAACTCCCAAGGTGACAGGGTGGTTGGCAGCAAGCAGCCAGACTAGGCCTCCCATGGGGAACATGAGGCTGCTCTCCTGGAGACCAGGTCCCGCCTGTCCATGTCAGCAACGATGTGGAAATCTCCGGGGCTCTATCTTGATGGCAGGAAGGACAGCTCTGGCCTGGAGCCAGATAACCCATCAGGCCCCAAAGGGGACAACTACAGGACACACAGATACTCACTTGGGTTTTTCATCTGGTAATGGTTCAGGAAGCCCAAAGTCTCCAGGGCGTCACTCTTGGATTCCCACTCCAGCAGCCCAGACGAGCTGCGTTCACCTGATCGGAAGGCAGAGGTCAGGCAGGGACCAGGGAGCCACCCATTTACACCCGAGGAATGCGAGAGGGGGGCGGGGCACTTCACTCACTTTTGCCTGAGAATACTTTCACTGAAGATGGCCGCTTCACTCCCAGCTCATCGCAGATCTGCAAGACAGAAAACAGACACAGAAATACAAGGAGTGCCACATGGCAGACCACGCCCTACATGATTGAGTGCTCCAGTTTTTCTGGAGAGGAGTTTCTAAGCTTTTATCACACACTCTAAGGTGTCCCCATGGCCCAAGAAAAGGTTAAGAAACACTGCTCTGAACTGTCCGGTTGCCAAGAACTGAGAAATTGCTTTTTTACTTACCTACCTTCAGCTGCTATTTGGGTGTGTGTTGGCACTAGGTAAATGTTTGATGAACTGAGGTCTGGGGCCAGAGCAAGGTCCAAAGTCGCACTCTGCCAGTCAGTCTTCCTGCCCTAGTTTCCTCTGACCTCGCCACTCCCTTCAGATGCTACCTAGGCACTAAGGGCCTGCCTGACACTGGACTCTGATCACCACTCTGTCACCGGACAGGGAGAATCTCTCCCAGAAGTACAGCCAAACTAGCTTGCCAGAAACGTAAACAGCACACTCTACTGCTGCTAGAAGTTCAGTGCCATTCTCTCAGCCTGTCTGCCCTGGTCCCTGTGTCCCCGGGACCCAACCTAGCGCATGGCAGAGCAAAAGCTTAACAGATATCTGTTGAAATACTAAAACAAACGGCCTACTCAGATGGTTGTGGTGAAGGACCATGGCACTCACCTCAAAGAAGTTCTCCTCAGTCACCTCCAGAGGGGCGTTGAAGAAGTGCAGCACGTTGCTAGGGTGCTGGATGCGGTTCTTGGCAGCCTGCTCCGGAGTGGAGAACCGGTTGTTCCGTGATTCACTGAAATCTTTGTAACTTGAGGACCCGTCTTCTAGCCCATATGACTGACCAGGCATGATGGCTGGTTGTTTGGAGACACTAAGAGGGATGGGGAGCCCTGTGTCAGATCTAATGTCGCCTTCCCCCAAGCCCTCCACTGTGGCCTTGTTCCCGAGAGCAAGCACTGGGCACTCCGACCCAGCCGCCACTTTCTCCCCTGCTTTAGATGGACACACTCCCTCTTGCCCAAATAATCACCTCTGCCAGCCCTGTTCAGAGTGGGCCCCATTCTTTCCCACCTCTCCTCAGTCCCTTGGCAACATGTCCCAGGCCAGGAGTCCAGGCACCTACCAGACTTTCAGCTTCTGCCCGAACATGAAGTTGTTGTTGAGGTGGGTAATGGCCCGGTCCACAGCATAGCCATCGGCCATCTCCACCATGGCGGCCCCCGGTTTGCTTTTCATGAATTTCACCTTGCAGAGAGCAGCCGTGGTCAGCACCACTGCCCAGCTGCCAGGCACCCTTCCCCTGCCCCTTCCAAGTTAGTTAGAACTGCTCTGGATTCGCGCTTCCATGCTGTCACTGGTGAATGGGGAATCAGAAGAGAAGCACGCCTGGCTCCCAGCAAGGGCCCAGGCAGCGTTCTCCTAACCTGAGGACATGAGCCATACGCGGGTCACTTAACAAGGCACAACAGGAAACAGTGGGCATGACAAAAAACGAAAGCAGCTATTCTTATGAACGCGTGTCTGTTAATAAGCATTTATGTAGATACTGGATCCTGATCGTTATTAATGGGTCAAGCGAGGAGCTGCAAACCCAAAGTTTTCAGATGGGTATGAAAAAAGAAACCACCTCCTCTATGTGGTTAAGTCACCAAGCAGCCTTAGTCAACTGTCCCACAGGCAAGGCAAGAGGCCCAGTGTTGCCAGATAGTCTGAAATTTTTTGGAAGAAATCCTTATACACTTACCTTCAACTATAACGGGTGCATCATGAATTATAATGTTGATGTAATGTTATTACTACATCTGTGTGGTAGCCGTTTTTTAACATCAAAAATTCAAAAGTAAACAACGAAACACCTACACACAATAAGGACCAAGGTATCTGCCTGCAGCAGGTCACCTGATTAGGTGAGTCGCCCTCCCTGGATCAGCTGGCTCCCAGCCAGGCCGCCTCTGGCTGGGGGCCTCCCAGGAGCCTGCCAGGTCTACAAGGAAAGCCACGGACATAGCAGAAGCTCACCTTCTCCACATTGCCATATAAGCAGAAGACATTGAAGACTCGATCACAGTTCATCTTAGATTGATCCAAGCCATAGACCATGAGCACAGGGCTGTCAGCGTGGGGGCCATACTCGGGTGGTGGGGGAGGGGGTGGGGGGTGCCCATACTGGGGGCCGTAGCGACTTGGGCCCCGGCGGTGACCCCCCACTGGTGGGCCCATCCTTCTCCCTTCGTAGTGAGGTGGGGGGGGCCCGTAGCCCTCATCATGGTAATGGCTGTGGTACCCACCGTGGGGCCCTCCTGGGGGGTGGGAAGGAAAGAGAGGGAGGACGGGTGAGAATTTGCGTGGCGGACGACGGGCAGAGGCACATGAGCCACGGGAGTCCACGGAGGGGAACCCCCTGCCCTCACCATATTCTGCGGGGTGATCTCCCAGGAGAGGGGGCTGCCTCTGGCGTTTGTTAGGGTTGCTGCCAGGGTCACCTGTGGACAGAGAGAAGAGTTAGAGCCCAACCTGGAAAACGGGGTGGCTCTTCCCCTCTTGACTAGAGGCTAACCTCTAAGTCCCTGAGCTCCTGAGAACCTGAGTACAGAGCCTCCCTACTCAGGGCTGCTGGGCCTCCCTCCTGTGGCCTGACCCAGGCTGGGCACGAAGCCCATGGCTGGAGTCTACACTGCCTCCCCTGCCCATACCGACCGGGCTGCCTTCCGTTCTCTGCGAAGAGTGAGGCCCAGCTGTGCGCTCTCGCCTGCCCTGGCGAGGAGCCCAGCTCGTGGGCCCTCACAGGAACCTCCAGCTGCTATGGAAGCTGACAGGTGACAAGCCGAGAAGAGCTTTCTAAAATAATTCCCGATGAAGGGAGAGGGGGTGAGAGCAGGAAAATAACCCAGAAAGGTCAGAAAGATGACACCATCTGGCCCCCAAAGTCTCAAGGCTCTAGAAGCTCTAGATCCCACTTTCTAGGACCCTTCTTTCTGAACCCCGTCCCAGTCACCCTCCCACCCATCATGTCCAACCCGAGGTGGAACCGGAGGAAAGGACAAGCAGGGCGAAGTCAGAATCAGTTCATTTGAGCAGTCACATACAAGGCAACAACATTCTCAGACCCAGACAAAGGCGCAGATCCACCCTCCGCCCCCAGCTGCGGTCCATGATTGCTACCACGAACTCAGCACTGGAGTGGCAAACACTGTGCTAAGTGCTTTACAGAGATCGCCGCTTCTTAAATTCCTCACAACAACCCTATGAGGTAGGTACTAGTTTAGTCCCATTTTACAGATAAAAAAACTGAGCAGTTAACTTTTAACTGAGCAGTTTAAGACATTTTGGCCCAAGGTCACAAAGCGAGTTAGTGGCTGAGCCGGGATTTGAACCCAGGTCTGGCTGACTCCAAAACCCAAGGCTCGAGACCACTGCCCTTTCCTGCCACCCGGCCTGCATTGTTTTCAACAATCAGTCATTACAAAGATGGAAAAGGGCTACTTACAGCAGAAGTACAGAGTACAATGTCCATTTGTCACAAAAAACAAATCTGTATTTTCTCTTACCATTGGACGCTTCAACAGTGAGTTAGCACAGTTCTGAAAGATGGCGTCCCATCAAACATACACTGCGACCCTGCATCACATGGTTTTACAGTCATAAATACAAGTTACGGCACACATCCGCTACAATTTTTTTAACAGTCAATGTTTTTGATTAAATCAAAAAATGGCTCACAGATGTTCTGTCCTCAGAAGATATCAGAAAAGTGGAAAATAAAGGTGTATGAAGTGGGTAGTGTCCCTCCGTGTTGTCACCTCCTCACATTGTGTGCTGCAGTGCGGTGCTTCTGGCTGTGTAGCGCTCCATGTGCGTGTCTCCTGGTTATGAAGTGTGCCAGTGGCCCCACTACGCCCGAGCTTTTGGCCTTGGGAGCGCGCCCGGTTACCCGCCAGCAGGTAACTGTGTACCTCTGAGCTGTTTGGCTGTCTGGTTTTAGGTCTGTTTTGGTTTTTTGATTTTTTTGTTGTGGTTTAAGTTTTTTTTTGGTTTCTGATCTCCAGTTGGTGCAGATTATGTTGGCAGCCGTTGACTGCAGAAAAAATAAAAATATCAAAACAGAAAAAAAAGAAAGCCCTCCCCAAACCAAAGGACTTAAAAAACAAAACAAAACCCATATGGCGAGGAATGGAGAGAGGATCCTATTGTCTTGGAGGCCCATGGAATCTACTTCAGTCTGTGAAACGTTCTCCGAAAAGAGCGCCGCTGGCTGGCTGAGAGCTCTGTTCTCTGTGTTTCCTACTTCTGTGTACATTCTCGGGTTCAAGTTTGCTTGGATTTTGACCTTTTTTTTTTAATGTTTAATAAAAAAGCAGTGTCTGCTGCCATGTTGCGTCTCTTTCTTTGTCTCTGTCTGCCTCTGTTTCTGTGCTTGTAGCTGTTCCTTGGAGCGCGGTGTGGTGTTCTTGATGTAGTGAGCTCAAGTCTGCAGCTGTTTCTGGGGACGTGGTGGAGGCTGCATGTTCTGTTCTCTCCAGGAAGAGCTAGTGGTTTCTACCCTGTGTGTTGGTGAGCAATGTGCAGAGGCAGAGCCACTGAAGTATGGTTCCCGAGGGGGTGGCTAAGCACCGCCCTCGCTCCAGGTTACCTCATCAGCTCTCGTTTTTGACCCCCAGCCTTGAGGCGGCCAAAACTGAGAGGCATCGAAACCAATGCACAGCCAGCCCCTGCCACTAGCCCCTGCCGGTCTGCACATCTTCTATTTATGTTCCTTGGAGAAGAAATGGTTGGTTGCCATGTTTCTGTTAGCAGTCATGTAATGCCATTGCCCGCTCTGGTACATTCACTTGTTCACCAATTTGCCTCTGACCTCTGGAGGGAGCGGCCAGGCCCACAATGCGCACTGTGAGGGTCCTGGGGAGAGTCTAGCCCACCCCGCCCACTGCTTCCCAGCTGCAAGGGCGAGCAAGACAGGTCTGGCTAGAAATGGGGGACAACCAGCCTTGTCCCTCAGCCCGCAGCCTAGTCCAATGTATCAGACCAAGACAGACACAGAGATGGACGGTCTTGCGGAGGATGTGCTGCTGCTTTTCAAAGGCAAGCCTCCACCTCTCCCTCCCATCCATGGCAAACCATTCTTGACAGATTCTAGGAAGGGTTATCCATTTGGGCCCCCCCCCACCACCGCAGAAAGATGAGGCCCCTCTACAAGTGAGGTGAGGCAAGTCCGCCCTGCTCCAATGCAGGGTTTCACCTCCACAAGGTCAACTTACTCAAAGGCTCTGCTGAAAGGACCCAGGAGCCCTCATCACCGGCCCGCCATCAGCCCCCACCCCACGCCGCAAGCAGACCCTTGAAATAGTGGTGAGCAAGGGGACCACTCCCGGCCCAGTGAGCACGGAGTCAGTGACCCTAAGTATGTTCTTAGAAAGGAAGCAGCAGAATGCACCTGGGAGCTGCTACTGGTTTCCTAGTCATCGCTACGCCCAGTGTTCAGCGAGGCCCTGCTCCCCACCCCACCCAAGCCTCTACCTTGAGTCTGCATCCTCGGCTGCATCGAAGGGCTCGGAGCAGCAGCTAGGACCTACAGAGGCCCTTCACTCACCCTCTCCCACTGAAGTGTCTTTTGAAAGAACTGACCCAAGGCCCCCCCATGTCCACAGGGAGCCCAATGGCATTACATAACCCTGAGCCCAGGTCTACGGAGTGCACTACCCGAGTGACAGCAAGGTGGGTGTGTGTAGAACAAAGTGGTCGTCGGGATTACCTTGTCCACTGAGGTTGGGGTTTGTGTAGTCCCAAGTATCCTGATCATTCTTGAACACGTTCAAACGCGTAGGCTGCAGGGATAAGACAAAGCTTAAGATCAGCCAGGCCCAGCTCACCTGGAATCTGACAAGGAATCGCCACTTCCAGACTTACCTTCGCATATTCAATCTTCAGAGTGCAACAGCCTGAATAGATATCAGCCCCATTGAGCGAGGCCTTGGCCCGCTGGGCGCTCTGCACAGAGTCAAATGTGACTAAAATTAAGGAAAGTCTCCTCACAGCAGCTCTTTAGAAAGGCCTTCATGCTGTCGCAGAGAGGGATGAGAACAAGGTAGCACCCTAAGACTGTGCTACATGTGGGTTCTAGGGTCAGGTTCACTACTGCAACCACCAGCCACTTGCACGGAGATGGACAGGAGTGCCACTCTGAGTGATCATTCCTTCGTGGTCTGCATTCCTTTTCTGCCCACCAGCCCACATGGGGCAGCAACCTCCTCTGCCACCACCCCAGGCCTAGCCACTTTCTTCTTTAGCCCAATCTTCCCCTGGCTTTAACTTAAGCCTGAACAATCTCTGAAATGTCAACCAGATTAGGTTCCTGTCCTGAAAGTCCGTCTGTGGCTTCCCACTGCACTGTGACTCAAGCTGTCTGGGACACCCAACTAACTTCTTCCAGTGTCCATAGCGAAACTCTCCCCTGTATCTGCTACTCTTCAGTCATCAGGTCATTTGCTTTCTTCAACACTAAGCTCCTGCCCACCTGAGGATCTTTGTAGAAGCTGTTCTTCTGCCTTTAATGCCAGCTCCTACCTCCTCATGGAAATAGGGTATCACCTCCTCAGAGAGCTTCCCAGATTCCCTTGTAAATCCCTTTCCTCTTGTATATTATAGCACCCTGTTCTTTCCCTTCACAGTACTTTACATCCCGCATTTTTACATTGTGTCAGATTACTGGTTTACTGACAACCTCTCCCATCACACTGTGAAGGCATTTGGCACATGGCAGGCATCCAGTATACACACTGGTTGAAAGGGTAGCACCCCGCCCAGCCTTGAGAGCCCCTGCCGCAAGGAACCCGTTTCCTAGCAAAGGATATTCCACCATGGCCTGGACTCCATTCTTCCGGAAAATGACAATTCTCTGGACAGGGCCACAAGGGTTACAGATAGTGTAAAGAACATCCTATAAAAGCAAAAACAGGCAAAATGAAGGGAGACTGGCAGGTCAATCTGGCTCGGGGAAGGGGACAAAGAGAAAGAGAAAAGGGAAACCTCACAGAGGAGCTTAAGGGCACGCCCGCTGGCACGCACCGTGGTAATGGAATAGATGGGGTTCAGGATGGTAAAGAGAAGCACGCTGTTGACGCTCCGGGAGTCATCCGAGTCCCCAGGGCGGGAGATCTTCTGGCTGGTAGAGTAATTGACAAAAGCTGGGTGGCCAGCAATATAGATTTGGTTGTCGGCAGCGTAGTTCACGGCGTTGCAAGCTCCCAACACATCTTCAAACTCCACCAATGCTTGTCTCTTTTTAGGCATTACCACCACATAGCTGGCAGAGAGCACATCGGTTTCAATTCTCTCAGAAGGATGGAGGCAAGAATTTCCTGTGAACTGACTCCTCCCTGGTCTCCAGACTCCTCTGTGCACTGTCATGGTTTCCTGACCTAAACATCCCTTGCTATAAGTGTCAAGACAGGCCAGAGTTGTAGTTTTGGCATCAAATCTCCTCTGGGAAGCCTTCCTTCCTGACCCCTCCTCACCTGACTCAAATGCCTCCCATAGACTCCTGAGCATCCCCTATCACAGTGCTGACCACTGTGCAAAGAGTCCAGGACAGTTTTGTTCATTGTTCTATTCTCAGCACCTACCATGTTGCCACATACTCAGTAAATATCTGCTGAATGGGAAAATGCTGATTAAAAACTACGAGGCAGAGAAAGGAATGAAGAAAGGACACAGACCCAAAGTACAACGGCCAACCCCTAGAGCAGAGGAACCGGAGGACCTAGCCAAAGAACCCTGGACCAAACTGGCCAACACACTTCTAACCAAAAGCCAATTCTGCCAACTCAATCCTTGGCTTCTGAGTAAGATACCTGATGGGCCCAAACTCCTGCAAGGCCTCCACGAGGTCAGCTTCCACCACGCCGTCAATCAGGCCCCTGATGTGGACAACTGGGGAGGCGGGGGTTTTGTGCGGATCATCGTAGTTCTCCTGAAAAAGGAAGCAAAAACATTTTATTTCATGCAGGGCAAGATGGTGGCCCACTGGCCTTTATGTTCTTGGAGACCCAGTCAGATAACAGTTGAGTGTCATTCAGGAAGGACACACAGCTCAGACAAGGAAGAGCAATTCAAGCCAATAACCCCAAAAAGATTCTGGGCTTTGAGTGGGTGGCCACCTGTCTAATGCCTCTTGTTACAGCTTCTGAGGAAGGCAGAATAGAAGACACAGGCAAGTCTCATATCTTACCTTCCTCCCAGAACCTGTCTCTTCCCACTGGTCAAAAAAATGTGGGAGAAGAGTGGCTTAGAAATGGATACCACTGGCAAGAAGGGCTCACACAATTCTCTGCAGCAGTCTGAATAAGGCCATCTCTTTGCATCCATCCCAGCTTCTTCGCCCCTCCCCTAGTAGAGCAAGCTACCATCACCACCCAGCTAAGCACTGCTTCTCCCCACCACTCATCCTCAGGTCCAGTCAAGGTAAAAGAGCATGTGCCCCAGAAGCTGTGGCAGCCAAGCCAGTCTCCACCACTTCCAGTCTTTAATCACTTTCCCACCAATATCTGTGTTGAAAACACTACCTAAGCAAAACCAAAGAAGAGTAAGGAAAGTCTTATATAAGGAAAAAAATTCCAACCCACACTACTAAAACCAAGACAGTTCCTTTCCCAGGGGAAGTAGCCTTCCACTCACAGCGGGAAGTCTCTGGGAATTAGAAAGAAACTTTCTCCACCTCTCCTGAGCTCTGGGCCCAGCCTCCTGTCTGAGAACCAAGCAGAAGCCCTTTGGATAGAGGGAAAATTGGATTGTATTTCGGGAACTAACTACACAAACCACAGAAGGCACAAACACCTGATAGTTACCACTAGCTCTGCTTTTGGGGTTCCATAGCTCCTGAGTTCTAATCCCAGCCCCTCCTCTCACTAAATGACCTGAACAATTTACCTCATCTCTGTAAGTCGGGAATAATACCATCCTATCTCACAGAGAAGTGTTGAAAATGCAATTGAAATGCCTTTAAAATGTATAGAACAGGCCTGACACAGACTACAATGTTAGTAAATCATAGTACAGATAATAGTTACTCTGAAAACCCTGCAAATGGCTGACCCGGAGATGACTTCATGAACTTGAAGGAGAAAATGGGCTTCAAGCCAAAAGGAACCAGTGCTCTCTTTGGATAAGACTGAAGAACAGAATCTCTTCCAAAATGCCCACCCTCAAGGTCCATTTTGGTTCATCAAACTCCCCACACCCGGTTAACCCCCAGAAATTGTAAGCAAAACTTGTGATGGCTCCAAAGCTTGGCTCAACTCCCAAATAGCTAAATAGACTTTTCATAAGCTGTTCTTCCGGTTTTCAATGCCCACAAAAATAGGAAACATACTCTCTTCTGGGAAAATATCCTCAAATACATCGATCTGCTTCGAAAGAAGGCATAATGCTAAAAAAATTAAAGTGATCGGACATAATTCCCCACTCCGGCGCAGAAAGGGCCACCGCCCACCCGTTCCCGCTCACGCGGTGCCCCCCCACCCCAACCGCCCACGAGGCCCAGGCTGGAGAATTGCTCCTGCGCAAGGGAGAGAAGAAA